CGCGCCCCTCCCCCATCCCCCGCGAAGGCTCACGGGAGCTGCAAGCGGCGACGCCGCGCCCTTCGCAGGCGCCATGACAGGACTGAGAGCTACTGCGCACGTCAGCGTTTGGTCATGGTTTAATGTCAATTCTCCCGCTTGAAATTGTACATCTCGTGAGAAATACCAGAGCACAGGAGAGCCCGAATTAAATTCCCATCGCTGTACTGGGCAGATTAAAAACACAACTAAATAAGTGGAAAAACCTGCTGAATAAATACATACACCTTTTCAACATCTTCTCGCTAAAAGGCCTCAGCGGTCCCTTCCTTTGGTAACAGCATGCAAGTCACTTGACCGGGATTTCAGTAACAAGAATTGTTAGCTTAATTTTTCACTTTACAAACTGATTGTCCACGCCTGGAGTTTTCTCCCTTTGGTGTGCATGAGTGTGTAGCGTTCGAATAGACCTAAAAAGCACGTGGAAAGCAGCGGAAAAGGGGCTGTGTTGCTTTCCTGGGGTCCGTTCAAACTGTGTAAGATTCCCCGTCCACACATAGCACGCCTAAAGCTACGAGCAGTTCTGCCTGCGTTAACGTGCCCAGTACTAGACGAAGCATCTCTACACCTGACAATCAAATTAGATGGTAGAGTCCAGAGGCAGAGATAACTTAAGAGGAGGAAGAGGTTTTTTTTTTTTCCTCCCTAAGAACAGTTTCTGATATTAATTTACTGCTTGCGAAACGTACTAGTCTGGCAGACCCAGAAAATAAAAAGTTTCTAAGAGGCAGAGCTCATAGACGACAGCAGAAAACGTTTCTCCCTGTTCCCCCTCCAACATGCATAAACCGTGACCTCTATTCTAGACAGATTTTTATACCCATCAGTCCACCACAATCTCATAGCGCTTTCTAATCATACACTTCTATCACCCTCCACCCCACCGCAGAAGTATCTACAGTGGAGTGTTTTGTTGGGGAACTTCAAGCGACGGGAATACTGAAAATTTATCTCCTCTAAGTACCAGAGAACAGTTGTTTTCCAGTGATGGCCCATTCGAGTTAGATGCAAAGAAAATTATCAAAACAAGCACTAAGAGCTGGAGTGAGGCCATCAAAAACCACTGGTGCCTCTGGATTGTTATCAGATGGTTAGAGATTTTGACAAACTTAATATGGAATAGAGCTGAGCTGATTCAGCAGTAGAGCCCTCCCGGCAGATGTAGTTATTCTCAGTTTTCCCTTTTTTAGATTTTATCTACACATACTGACCTGATATGAATTTGTCTGGGCATACAGGCTCCCGTCTAGCTGTGGTAGTAGAAGATAGGGAGGCTATTTTTTTAATCTCCTCAACCTAATCCCAGAGGTAAAGTATAATAAGCAGACCTTCCTTTAGCTAACAGGAAGCACCTAGATGGCCACTGCTGCCGCTTTGAACTTCATGATACATTTCCAATGAATGCAAAGAGGTAAGGAATCAGATGAACTTCAGGCTCTTACTGCTGAGTTTCATCTGGTATTACATTTAACTGTTATGACTCCTGGAGCCAGCGCCCTGATGATTTTCTATTTGGAACAGTGTCCAGAAATGATTCTCTAATGTCCATTCCTGTATATGCAGTGGATGGAAATGGGCTGCCAGCTACTTGGAGAGAGAGCTTGTGACTTGCCTCCAAAAAGCTGGATTTCCAGTCCAAGAAAGCACTTCTGTAAAGCCACCCGAGCAGTGAAGTTTCAAGTAAATCGCATTTCCAAGAAACAGTGGATGAGGAGCAGAATCAGAAATGAAGGCACAAAATCTCCGTCCAAATTCTACAAAAACGTTCCCAGATATTACCTGCAGAGAGGGAGATCTTCCAGTAGTGGAGTCTTAAAATATCATTAAAAACCAATATCCAAATAGCTTTGATCAATGCCTTGGAGACTCTCAGCAGCATTCCCTGCTTCCACTCAAAGTCAGCAGTGAGTGGGGCCAGGGAAAGGTCCTTCTTGTTAGGCATAGCTCTAGGGATCAAGAAAGGACACTGCGATATAACGAGTCCCCTTGGTGGTAGGAAGGCCTTCATGATAGTGAGTCAGGCGTCCTGGATGCATAAGGGTCCAACCCTTTCGTGGAGCTCGAATGGAGCAATTGTAGCGCAGGAAGCGGCAGCCTCCTCCCTGGGAGAAACAAAACCAGAGAGCATCAGTTTGGTAAAAGCGTGTCAGGGAAAGGATCTCTGCTTTCTCCTGGAAGCCCTTCTGAAAGCATGGGAAGGTGCTTGGGGAATCTCTTGCCGCAGGTATTCAAAAATCTGCTGTCCTAACCCAGTCAGTAGCACTTACCTCATAGTCTATTCCAACTCGGTTCAGAGCAATGTTAATGGTAAAGGTGGAAGCGTCATGATGAGGCACTAGAGAGGGCTGCTCATCAGGTTTGTAGCGAACTACAAAGGCTAGCTCAAACTGAGTCTGCAGGGGAAAAGAACAAAATAAACACACACGTTACAGGGCTGTATTATTCCATAGCTACTGAGCTCCAAGCATGGTGTAAGATTTAAATTGTATTTCACTGCCAAGAGAGAAGAGACCCAGTAAGTCAGGAGAACGTTCTCACAACATCGTGTACTTCCTGATGCATATACTGATGTTATACTGCAGCGTCAGTTCCTCCGTACTGGGAAACAGTATGCATATCGATAGAGGATCCTAGGGGCCCTTTCCTTTACACAGTTGCAGTAGTAGGAGGTGCCAAGGTATACCTACCTTGGTATAGTATCCTGGGTACAGTTTCTCCGTGATGGGTGCAATATAGTCCAGAAGAAACTTATACCACTCTCTTTCAAAGCCAATTTGGTTCATGTGGATGTCAATAGTTGGGACATTCTCATATCCCCCTTGTATTCTGCTGTCCTGAAATTGAATCATCAAAATATCCGTGAGGATGGGCACCTTGGACTTCAGGTATGACAAACACTTGTTTCTGGTAATTACCATTAAATATAAGATTTCTTCATGAGGCTTTTCATGTTTGAAAACTCATTCCAAACATTAATTAAACCCACAAGATAGACAATCAGACTACCAGAAGGGCTGAACATTGTAGCTTCAGAGGATACTACAGAGGACTCAGAAAAACCAATTCACATATGAGAACATGTGCAAAATCACACAGTTAACCAGGAGCAAAATTAGGACTACTGCCTCCATTTTCCCAGTTTAACTGCTGGATCTAAGGCCATCTTAGAGGAGACGCTATTGCCACCAAATACTCATGGAAAATGATGTGACCTAGAAGTCAAGAAACTCCTGCTTTTTCTTACCGTATTGTCACCTGTGGACCACTGGCCATAATGTTCCATTTCTTCCACCAGCTCATCACATGCAGCCTCAGTGAATATGGGGAACCAGTAAACATCTGGGCAGGGCTGGAAAAAAGTGGACAGGTGAGAATAGCAGAAACAAGGGCAGGTGCTTGAGAGAAGAGGAAATAAACCAGACAGATGGTAGATAGGGTCAGATTAAGTGGAAAATAACTACAATATTGAAGACAGAAATTTACCTTCTGATTCATGTGCCCTGCTTCTACTTAAAGACAGCTGAACAGGTACTTCTGAAAGAATGATTTGGCCCTAAAAATACTTCCAGATGAAACATGACCTTGAATCTGAAAGACTTTGAGGTAGTGCTGAGCTGCTTACGTCTAAGACTGGTGATAATACAAGCATTATCCTGATGCTAATCTGCCATTCTGATGGATAAGAGCAATGTTTTCTTACCACTTCCACCAATTTCCCTTTCAGAGCTGCTGTGTAGTTTTCATGGATGTACTTTTCTCTCCAGTCCTGCGGTTAAAAGATAAGCAAACTAGTCATTTTTGTACAGCCTGGCTAAAGAGGCAATGAAAGGCCAGGCACTGCAGCAGCAGTGTTTCACAGGCTTTGGAGATCTAGATGTTGTTATGAATCACATAAACACCCTCCCTTTAAATTCTGTGACTGTGCTCCTCATCCCACCTGAGAGACATCATACAACAAAGCCCGGACCTTCCTTATCAACGAAGCTGATCATCAGATCTTCACATCCCACAATGCTCGGCCTGCTGAGCGTGCCAGTTATCTCACCTCAGGATTGCTGAATATTTGCCAGAGGTCATTGTGGAGATGAGTTGTCTGATAATTCTCCAGAGAGAGTATGTGTCCAAACTGGTGCCGATTTGTCAAGTACATGAAAACCCCCTGCAGGAAAAAGGGAAACAATCAAACCGTGTTTCCAGGCCTCACATTCCGGTGAGCCATTATGAAATACAAGCACTGGACCAGTGATGATGGCTCTAAGCTGTTTATCTACTCATTCTTTCTCCCATGGGCCTCACTTTAGTTTCCACCCTGGATATGAGGAACTCTGAAAGCAGCCAGCAACTCTGGCTCTGAAAGAGCCAGCAATCCTGTGCCTCTCATCAGCCACGGATGGAAGCAGAGTAGAGCAGGTGCCCTAAGATGAGCTTCTTCCTTCTTCTCCTGCTGTCCCCATTTAGAACAGCCCTGAATAGGTCCAAGAACAAAAAGGTGATCAGCATTTAATGGTTCCTGGCTCTGGGTGGTTTCACAGCAAGACAGAAATCTCACACTGTTCCAAGACTGCAGAGGATCAAGTAACGCCAATGCATCCTGTCCCATGGCCTGGCAGACACGAATGCCTTGAAACCGCTCTATCTTGTCACCTCCACTGTGGCATGCGGTCCTCCACTGCCAGCCTCTCTCTCCTCAACTGACCTGATTCCGAACGTTGTGGCAGAAAGCCATGTCAGCATCCAGCTTTCCACTGTGGAAGAGATCTCCCTGGTCAAGCTCTGATCGCAGAGTTTTGGCTTTAACCATGTAAGCGCCACTGATATAGGGAACGTTCCAAAGCCCGCTGAAACACAGAAGTAGGAGACTAAGACATGAAATAACAGCAAGAAAGAAACTGCAGGACTAGAGGGGATGGCAGGCAGCACTGCAACATCAGCCAGGCTAGCCGAAATGAGCCAACTCAGAACAGTACGGAGAAACGATACCAACAGGAATTCTCATTCCAGGAAAAATCAGTTATATTGCCAGAGCTTCTAAGCAGCACAAATGCTAGTCTGCTGTGAAAGCAATTAATTGCTACTGTGTGTTTCTGTTAGGGACATAGCTAATGGCTTGAGCCTCTTCCCAGAGAGACTGACATTTTTTTTTTCTAACGATTTAAAATAACTGAACCAGCCAAAAGTGCATAAGCTGATTTCCAGCATTTATTGTGCATACACTGACCTAAAAAAAAGGGCTCCTCAAGAATATAAATGAAACAACAATACTATTTTGTGAATCTCTCATCCAAGGATCACCTACTGTTTTATGAAGACTGATAAAGGCTGGAAAGCTTTTAAGGGATTTTAAGAATCACGCTAACTATAATCTGCAGGTGGGAAATTTCAGCGGTCAGGACTCTCAACCCCTTACTCTGATCATCAGGAAATCTGCCTGAAGTGCGTACGGTCTCTGGACAGAGGAGAACACGTAGCAGATTCGAACTCGGAATAATATAGACTTCTTTTCCCTTTTTATACACAAGCACAGTAGTGCAGTCTATGTCTTTGACGTCAGCTAGTTTGAGGATCGTGTGCAGCAGCAAGCTTTATATTTAAGGGATTCTATCAGTAAGAAACTCTCTTTGTATACTCACACCCTCCGCCTTTGAACAATATCCACATAATCTTCCGAGCGGGCATAGTACCCGTCAGGGCTCAGTGCTCCCCAGAAATTTGACCACAACTTCTCATGCCGACTTACCAGTGGGGCAATCACCAGCCTGTGAGCATAACAGAAAAGGGAATTGCAAGACAGGATGTTAGTACAGGAAGAAAAAGGAAAGATTTACAAACCACAGAACTGTCAGAGTCAGATTCTCCCTCACTTACCCAGCTGCTGCTACTAACTCTGGTGGAGTAAAATTCTACTTAAGCGAGGGCAAATACGGTCACAGTCTTACATATAACTGCATCCAGCAGCAGGTCTCCTAGACTCTGATTTGTTCTAGCTAGAGATGATTTATATCCATTGCCTAAAATTCAGAGATTGGCCACTACTGCAAAAAAAGGACCAAATAAGAGGCATTTGCCTAACATTCCATCCCCAGCAGAGTTCACCTAGTGCCTTACACATCTCACAGTGATAAAAGAGCTCACCATATTCCCAGTGTGAAATATGCCCAGTAAGGATTACACAGACCAAAGAACTCACTTGTTCTGTTCAATCAGGATCCTCAGAGTCTCTGTGTTCTTCAGAACTATGTCAGCATCCAAACTAAAGTAATAGTCACAGTCCGGATCCTTTCTGCACAAATCCCTATGGCCAGAGAGCAAAAAAAGGTTAGGTGAAAATCCTCCTAGGACAGAGTAAGAAAAAGGACAAAACAACAAGAATTTCCTCACTGCCTGGCCTAAGGGTCTTCTTTCAGGCATTCAGAAAAGTCAAAATTCAGTTAAACCTAACGTCCCAGGGGGCTAGCGTAGTAAAAGCACATCAGTTTCAGTAGCTAGCAGCACACACAAGGTGTAACCAACACCACATTTAGCCAACTTTGTTTTCCCAGCACAAATGTGTTCCCAGCACATTTACAGTTCGCTCAGACCGAGACCTGAGCTCACCCTTACACCTCCTGATCACAGCAAGATACTCTGCCACTACTTGACTGAAAGACGAGAAATATCCACTTGGCAGTGATGATTCTCCAAAAAAATGGACTGCCTTAGCTTGCCTGGACACAGGCTGACTCTGGTAGTCCTCAAGTTTGGCATCTTTACTTACATGCCCAAGTTACGTGCCTCAGCATTCTCCACCTCATCATCTGGCCCAATCACCTTGACGGCTAGATATTCTTTGCCATGCTCCTCAACAAATGAGTCCACCTGCGTCAGGTGATGTTGTTCCTATGCCGAAAGGAAAACAAGGGAAAACAAGGGACATGAGCTCATCCCAGGCCGCTCAGCCTCCTGCTCTTGAGAATGCCAAACCAGGTGAGCAACAGCTCTTTCCACCTCTACAGCTTTACTGCTGGATGGAGCTATGTTATAGGTGCCTTTGCAGACAGTACTGGGGTTACAGAGCCTGGCAGTCTAGTCACAGGTTGCAAAGATGACTGGGGTACAGTAGGAGGTAGGCATTTTCTAAGACCATCGCAGGCCAACTTTACTTACGTGGTTATGAATGAAGAGCTGGATCCGTTGTTTTGGGTAATGGAGGTTCCGAAGCCTCAAGAAGAACTGGGAGAGGAAAGGAGTGGGCTGCTCGATGAAAATGCCAATCAGAATCAGTGGCAACGCATCATCCTACATTCAAAGAGAAGTGGAGAGAGGTGGTGGCTCACGTACGACGCTAGAAACACGAGATCCCATTGTAACATCTGTTTCGAGCGCTTGGGATAGACATGAGCCTTACCTTAAACCCTGTGAGGCTTCGCAGGCCTTCATCACACACAGTGCAGCCGGTCTCAAATGTCCATATTTGAGGAATGTAGTTTCCCAGGTAGTTCAGCTGCAGCTGCAAAAGGAAATTTGCCATGTTCCACATACAGGGCAGAGGAATTTCTTTGCCTCCACCCCTGGTGTGAGATCAGATTCCATCAGAATTTCATTTATATTCTTCCTGCACTAAAAAATCTGAAAAGCACAAAGCTGATCTTTGAACCAGACCCATCTTGCTGCTATGGCCTTGGACCACAGATGCAGGAAAAGTCAGTATGTGGGAGGATAGTAGCCAGATACACGCAAGCACAAAGGGTCACTTTGCAACAAACTCATACCAAATCTTTCTCTCGGGGCTCCTGCTTACCTTGGTGGGTCCATTTCCATGAATCACCACAGGCAGAGTGTCATATAACAAGTTTCTTGCTCTCACTCGTGCATTTTCAAACTTCAGAACCACCTCATCTGGAAATCACATGGCCATCAGGTTATCAGAAGGTTTTGATTAATATTTAGCAACACAATGCCCTGTTCCTACTGAACAAGTGCTAGAAGATGAAAGCATGGACCTGGATAACCAGGTAGTTTGAGGGCTATAGACTGACTATATGCAGGAAGGAAAGAAAATGTTCCGAGTAGTAGAGTAGTTCATGTTTAAGCTCCAGTCTTCCATTCTTATAATGAGCACAGGAGCCAAAAACGGCCTTGCCTTAATCATTTTTTACCTGATTGAAATAAAGATGGGTTGAAGCAAGATAGCTAACTGAAAACATTGGGCAGTAGTCCCAGGAGAATGAGTGAATCACATTTGCCAGAACTAGGGTAATCAGCTGGTCAAAAGGTGGTGTGGGTCAGTGAGCAGTGTCCGGCTGCATCTCACCCTCTGTCATTCCAGACACCGTTCTTAAGTGGAAAGAGAGGCAGGCCCTAGGCAGGGTTGTGTGTTATTACTTGCAGTAAAGTCCCTCCTAGTTTAAAACCCCAAGGCTAATGCAATCTGACATGCCTGGAGATCAAAGTGGCAAGGTGTAAGATGGAAAACCTGACCTGCATTCCCCCAAGTGAGAAGGGAATTACAGTCAGCACCTAGCTGGTCCCTGTGGAATTGCAAAAAAAATCCCAGGACTCTGGCAGAGACTTTTTACCGGGGCTTGTTCTTCAGGAACTGGAATTTCTGAAATTTAATCCCTTCAACCACATCACAACTTTATGTCTGGTGTCAGCATTCAGGTGCATTCCAAGGAGAAATGAGTCTCTTCTTCCATCTCACCTAATGCTCCATTCAGGTTCTGGAAGATCCGGCTTCTTTGGTCTAGACTGATATTGATACTTTCCTTTAAGAGAGTGAGATAAACAACCTTAATTAGAACACCAGCAGGCACCCATTCTCTACATGTGACAGGCTCTATGCTAAGTAAAGATACATCGCATTCCTATAATCATTTTCATATTCTCCATGCCCTGAAGCCTAAAAACACTCCCAGCTAATCCTCACTTGAATTTGAAACAATTCACCATTTCCAAAACAGTTTAAACGTATTCTATTAGGCAAAAACCATATAAATAAATACTATAAAGCTGCTCTGGGAGTGCCAATAAGGCAGAAATACGTAGCATATTAATGCTACCACACTTGCACCACAGTCATACAAAACTCGAGTATAATATGCAGGAATGCAAAGACAGCAAAAATATCTGCTGTGAGGGCCGCGAGTATAATATGCAGAAAGGCCAAGACAGCAAAAATATCTGCTGTGAGGGCGGTTTCCTGCCATCTATCCACAGGGCTAGCGTTACCCCAAATATTGCTCCAGGTATCAGTGTCAAACCAGAACACAGCGAGGGTGTAAGGCCAGCTTGTGCAATCTCTGTTTTTATCCCCTGCTGCAAGTCACACTCAGACTGGATTTTTGTCATACTAAAAACAAGCTCTGACTTAAGAGAGTTCAGTGTCCCTCCAGGCGAGGGTGGAAAGGATTGCAGGGTGCTAATATCTGAAGTCTGAGTGCCAAGTCAGTGGAATTACTCAGCCTTTGTGTGGCATAGGGCCAGAACTGCAGATGAGAACGTTAAAGGAGCTGTTCTTGTTAAAACATCATGGGCCACACTCAGACTTGGGGAGATAAAAAAGTGCAGCTCCTTTTCTAACCAATCTGAAGGCGCTTTCCTATTTCTAATGATTCCCCCGAGCTTACTATTACAGTTTCACTTCTTAGTTCTCAAGCGTTTGTGGCATCTCTCGCAAACAGCCTGCACTGTGTTACACAGAGCTGGGCAGGGACAACGGAAGCAGAATCACCCTGTGGGCTGGATTAATGTGTACCACAGTATGACACACGGTATTGGAACAGCAATGATACTTCCAGGGTCCATTTCAGTCTTGAGTATGATGTTATGTGGCATGCTACACAGGCTGACACAATTTTGAGGGCCAGGATCTAGAAGTGTCTGCTGAAGACCATGGCAGCCTCTTTGTTCCAGTAGGGCTACCCGGTGCGATGCCTATGATCTCTGTCCTGTGACACACCAGTAGTTACAAAGCTGTGAATCTCTGTCTCTTGCATCACCTCAAATCCGATCAGGCCTCATCTGCCCCGGTACCCACAATGTGCTTTAGTGCTAGGCTGGGTATCTCTTAAGTTAGTACTGCAGTCTGCAGGGAAGATACACACTTAAAGTTTGGATTCCCCATCCCCTGGGAGGAGACTGATTGGGAGGTTCCATAACAATCGACAGCTTCAAACATCAGCACATACATATATTAGTATGAGGTTACAATGAGACTTGTTTTAAGATACCTGTGTTCCTAGTCAAATTTTAAGCCTCAGGACCAAAACTGCTAACAAGAGAACAAAGGGTGCGGTTGCTAGAATGCAAATTTGCACAAGGGAAGTGGATAACGGGACATACTAGCGGCCTCTTCCATGTAAGGATGCCAGAGAAGTCATTACAGGGCAACATATATGTGCATGGAAACGGCTCAGCTGTAATGCTTCTCAGACAATTCCTGCTAAGGCCAAAATTCAGGTACACCTACCCGTTTTTCTGGATCCAAGAAGACAGTGGTATAAAAGAGCTGGTCACTGTCATCATCTTCTCCCTTCCACTCTTCCACAAGCTTGTTCAGGTTTGGAGCATAGCCTATGAAGCCTGCAGGAATAAGGATGAAGAGAAACACGATATTTCAGTCCAGACAACCCAGAAAGCAAAGTACGCATGCATACACATACTCACTTCTTTCAGACAAAGTCTCACCCCACCCTTGTCTCATGCGCAACAGAGACATAACAGCTTTCAGCAAAAGCTGTTCAGAATCACCCTTCCCAGCATGGAATGACACTGGGATAGAAGCCTTAATCTTCAGCATCAGAAAAGCTCAAATACCCATCCCCTGAAAAATCAGTCTCGCTGCAAATAGTCAGCAGGTTCCCATCCTCTAGAGGTGATTCATGGCTATGTCCCTTCCTGCAGGTAAAAGACAGGAGCGTAGCTGGTTTCTCTCTCTCTCTTACCTCCAGAGCCCAGGAAGCGCTTTCCATCTCGCACCTGAGGGTACTTGGCTTCCAACTTTCTGTCAGGATAGATGTAGTTCTCTGCTGAGAAGACAACTTTGCTCTTGGCTTGTTTGAACTTCTTCAGCAGCTCCGTGGGGCCCGATGCAAAGAGCACATCATAGCTAGAGTAAAAGATAGACAAAAAAGGACAGAAAGGAGTGGAGTCAGGAAAACAAGTCAATGAGAAAAGCATCTAGAAACAGGGGATTCATTTAGAATCCCCTTCTTTTAGTTCTGCTTCACAATAATATATTTTTGTCATAATTACAGTTAACTAAAGTGCAATCTTATTCATAGAGTGGAAGATGTTACTTAGAAATCAACAGGAAACATAGATGGATCTCAAGAATCCAGACACTCCACTGATTGTTTAAAAGCAGGATCAAACAAGTTTACACTGCCCCAAGGGAAGTTACTTTAAACATTTTTAAGCATTACCACTGCTGGAGTTTCCACAGGGTCTTGAGGCAGCCTATTCCCACGCTTAACCATTCTTACTTTTCTAAAGTTTTCACTAATAACAAAATCAAGTCTTCCAAGCTGAAAAACATGCTGATCTCGTCTTGTTCTTCCCCCGCTTCAGAACTGGGAATCACTGATGCTGTCACTCTTTGTAACAACCTTTCACTTAGCAGAAGAAAGATTTATTCTGCCACTCCTTTGTACCCACAGTCCTTCTTTCTAGACCAAACAATCCCACAGGTCATGCTTTCTACATCTTTTGGCATCCTGCCACTCTCCACAGAGCTCTCTGCAGTTCTTCAGAGGTGGGGCCTATGCTGGACACCAAACCCTGGACATTGGACTCCAGTCATTGTCTCCTCAGTACTGAGCAGAACTGACTAATTCCCAGTGCTCCCTGAATGAGATCTGCATTTTCTGCAAGAGGTTTGCATCCTTCAAACTAACTTTTGGTGAGTGAAAAAGTTGCTCATTCCAGAGAGGAATCATTTCTTACCCTTCCAAATACACAGAGACACTCAGAGCTGCAAGACATTTCCCTGTCATGGGAGCTAGAGATGGACATCCGTATCCCAGCCCTGTTTATTTCTGGGCACAGGAAAAGCCATTGAGACTCCAACCCATCATTTTCCCTCTTCACATTTCTCTGGCTGACTAATTGTGTTGCGGTCTGCCTCACCTTATAAAATAAGTAATTCCACTGAGAAAGGCCTGCCTGGATGCACAAAACTTGTCTGTCTGTTCTCTGGAGGTAGAGGCAGCCAAATTCCACCCTGGCAGAAACAGGTGTAATGCTATCAACTTTATACAAGAGTTGGAATCAGCCCATCGTGGTCAGACCTTCCCAGCTGCCATGGACGCAGCTCATACCAACACTCAGGAGACTACAGAGAATTCAGGGGGAAAAACAACTCAGGACATCTGGACACATCTTCCACAAGCAACCTACTAGTTAGTTTCTTCTTAGAATCTGTCCAGACAGCCTTATGATTCAGTTCACGGCAAATCCTTTCCAACCCGTTACCTTTCTACGAAAAGGATGATCAAGTCTTCCTTATCTGCATACTCCTTTAAAGCTGATTTCAAGAGACGGACCTTCTGCCCACCTCCTGCTGGCTTCTTATCGTCTCCACCCCGCCACTCCTCATCCAGCCCCAGCACCTAAAGGAGACAGGCAAAAGGTCTACTGAAAAAGGTCATTTTCCCGGCAAGACTCACAGAAAAGGACCAGAACTCACAGCCTCACCAGTCCTGATTACTCCCAACGCAAAACACAACAACAACAACAACTTCAGGATGGAGGCACTAGGCATATATGCCAGCCTTTGAACTCTCCTCTGAGATGAAAAGTCAGAGTAACATATAGCACAGTAAAAAAGCACTCTTAGCAACAGTGACAGGAGCGTCCCACTTTGCACCATTATGTTTCAGCACTGCAAGGGAAATGTGTCTTGGGGCTCCCCTGAGCAGGAGCCATGAATCTCATCTCAAGCCACTATTAGGGATGGTGTAAGAAAGACTGCCGCAGAAATGCCAGCTGCCACAGTATCTCTCAGACAGCTGAAAGGGCATGTCCTCTCTTGGGCTTTTGTTTAACTACTTTGTGGCCAAGTCTTATCCACCCCACACTCATAGGGGTGCCCATTTCAAAATTCCCTTTCACCAACCACCCCTGAGGCTGTTAGCCATCACCTTGACTTTGTAGTTGAAGAACTGGGCCGATCTTCTGAAGCGTCTGAATCCCTCAGTCTGCTTGGTGGCAACAGTGAGAACCAGCAGGTTTTCTGCTTACAGGAGAAAGCACAAGAGACATATGATCAGCTTGCTTGTTTTCACAGCCCACTGTTCCATATTTAACAGAGAGGCTTTACTATCAGATACTGAGCCAGAGTAGGAACTGTTATTCTTAAACGTACTTGACAGATATGACAAAGGGAGGTCACTAGGAGTAAAACTCAGTAATCAAGAAGTAAAGTGACTTTCCCAGTATCACACTTCAAGTTAGTCATGACCTCAGGAACAGAACCTAGGAGTCCCAACTTTCGCTTAAAGAGCCGCTGCTGTTCAGGGACAGAGGTTATGTCTGCTCTACATAACGCTGACAGCTGCCCGGGGTCATTTTAAATTAGATAAGGGACGCAGTCAAGCCATGGAGCGACTGACGTCACCCAGTTATCTCTACACTGCACAATCTTACGTACTATAGGTGCTCTCACTGCCCACAGAGCTTCAGCTCAGGAAGAAAATCAGCTTCAAATCCCAGTTATTTGCTGCCTAGATTATTGGCAACACCTACAGATAAAAAGAAAGACAGCATGGAAGTAGACAATGTTTTACTGCAATAACTGACTACCACAGGGGACAGAACATCGCAAAGGTGCCCAGGACTTTCAGTGTTTGATTGAAGAACCCAAAACTAACTGCAGTGCAACTAAGGCTGTTCCTGTGCTTTGTACTTGTGCAGCAGAGATGAGAACTTGGTCCTGGGTATAAAATGGGGAAAATATGCAATTTAGTTGAGTTATGAGCTAGAAAAAGAAAATACAACGTACTGAGTGTGTGGGTTTTTTTTTTTTTTACCCTTCTAGTACTAGCTACAATTCTTCAGTTTGAAGGAAATTAAACTTTAAGACAAAAAATAGAGCCGCTACAAAACGCCCATTTGGAAGTCACGCATTTAGTGCAATTGGCTTCCTGTTGCTTTTTTGTCACTCAACATTGACTGGGTGTAAGGAAGACCAAAATCAGGCTGAATGTTACTATTCCCTCTCCATGGCTGCTCCAATTGTCTACTGCGTTCCACAGGTGTTTTTCAGATTTTTCCGTACATATACAATGTGCATCACTTCCATTACGATTCTCCTCCTCCCTATCTTGCTTTTCATTTCCAGTCCCTTAAAAATGATGTAGCTAAATCTTTGAGCTCTCTTTCAGAAGTTTATCTAGGATACTGGAGTATGAATTTATTTGGAGGCCCCGGTTTCCTTGTTGCAATGATTAAATGCTCAATTTCATCTTAATACCTTTACTTCAGTAGGAATTTGTATAGGTTCTGGCAAGAGTGCGTTTAAATATGAATCCTGCCATCCAATTTTGACCTCGGAAAATACTGAGAATAACTGAAAGGACATTGTCTTGGCTTGAGCGGGCTTCTCTTGGAAGAACAGATTTTCAATGGATGTACCAGATGTATCTTCCTAGTGTACCTAAACTGATATTCTGGGCACGTGGAGTCCAGTGCCCTAGACAGGCAGGATCTAGGAGCTGGAATGCTGGACAGACCTGACAAAGGTATCCAAAGTAAAACATAAGGTAAGACTAGAGGTTAGGAAGTAAGAGGATGTTCCCAAGGACAAATCCTTTCCTCCATCCGAATAAAGAGAAGAAGAGATTGAGAGCAGTTAGTAAAAGGTCAGCTTTAACTGCATTTTGTTAGACATTCGTGCAGACAGACAAAGGACTGACAAACAAAAGAATCTGAATCCTGCATTAAGTGCAATTTCTGAAGGCAGATTTTTAGCTTTATGGAGTGCATTCCCAATCCAGCTCCTTCGGCACGCTCCAGTTTCTTGCGTCCTGTCTAGTCATAGGTGCAAACAAATCAGTAAAATATGAACGCCCTCAGGGTATACGTTAAAGCCATTAAAGTTTCTAGCCGTATGATGGCATGCAGAAAACTATGGCAGCTTGATCACACAGCTCTGAGCTCACAGTTTCTGAGAAGGTGGAAATCATACTGCCAGTGAAGAGGGGGCAAATGCGGGCTTGCCAGAGAGCAATGTAAAGACAAACATCAAATTCTAGTATCTGAAAAGGGAAGAGAAAGTATATGATAAGGATATTAGAAGAAAAGAATGACAATAGCCTGGCTGCTATGCAATTATTTCAGCCTGAATTGTCAGGAATCACATTAAATGAATCAGGAATTCCTTTTCATGCCGCCACCCCAAGAAAGCAACAAACTGTTTATCAAACGTCGTTTGATATGACTGCCAGAAGTTTGCTGGACCAGATGAGAGAGCGAAAGGCTCCGAGGATGAACAGGAAGCGGTGTCGTATTTCCAAGACAGAAAAGGTTTCACTGTGCAGCATATGAGCTCACAGGAGCATGGAAAAAGCCAGCAGAGAGACAACAATCCCCCCCCCGGCAGAATTCCTAGTTAAAGATTCCCTTCTCATTACTGATTTGTGGGGGAAGGACTCGGAGAGGCGTTAAGCTCAGTTTCTGTTCTGAGAAATCTCTGCAGTAGCGAGAGAGTTTTCCCTCCCAAGAGACACTCCTTCAGCTCAGTACTGGAAGTGCTGCGCCGGGCTGTGCTGCCTCAGGCTCCTTCTCCTTTAACCCTTTTTCCTCTTTCTCGGAGTTCTTGCTGAAGACTGGCGCAGCTGACAAGCACTTCCAGAGACAGAGAAGTAAACCCTTCTAATTTCTGGGGGTTTTTTAACTTCCACAGTAAATGCAACTTTTCATACAGTTTTTAAAATACTGTCTTCTTTCTCCACACTATCAATGCACATTCAGACTCCTGTCTTCGGACATAAATCACACGTAACAGACTGGCGGCTTGGAGTCAGTGGAACTCTGCCAGTTTATACCAGTTGAATACCTGACATGCAGCCTCCACCATGCAAGGATCCTTTTGGTCAGGACAAGACATTCAGTAGTGCACGGAAGCATTTTGAAACCTCCAAAAGCAGGTTTATGCTTCCTAATCATCCACATCACAGTTACCTTTAATATGCAGAAACGGTAGTTCATTTTGTTAAGCTGGGCCCCCTGGACACACTGACGCCTTGGGCCGTGCTGACATTTATAAATGTGAAAAAAATACATTTAATAATGGTATGACCGCAAAATATGAACACAGCGTGGTTCAACAAAGTAGGCGCTGGACTAGGAAGCAGGGGAGCTAGACTGTATCACTAGCTCAGCAGGGAGCCAGCCTTGCCAGCTCTCTATTTCTCCATGTGTAGAACGATAATAAGTGACATTTACCACTTATGCAGTTCTTCAAGCACTGCAGACGATTCTGTAGGGACAAAGTATTAGTACTGGGACTTAACTCTGATACCAACATCACAATTAAGTGGTCGGGTAGGCTTAGGAGCGTTTACAAAGGCATTGGTGAAAAGTAGCGACAAGATGAGTTCAGTAACAAATTGTAGAGTTATTTACTTCCGCCCTGACTCCACAGGGAAAGCACAGCTGCAGCTGCATTTTTGAACAAGGGATGAATTTATCCCTAGGCTGTGCCTTGGGAAATATTATTGTGCAGCTTCCTGCTAAATAACATTTAAGAAAATACCATTAATACCGGGATCAAATAGAAAAATTAGTGCACAGTTTAATAGTGGATAATATAATCTCCGCATGCAAATTATATTTACCAAGGTTTTTCGGAAACAATGTAATTAGAAGTACAAATAATTATGCTTAGAGCTTTTGCAGAGATCTGAAAGAACTTTTAAGAGAGAAGATAGGTGTCATTTTCCCATATTACTCTGGGGAAGCTCTGGAGGCACAGAAAAGGTAACTCAACTCAACCGGAAAACCATTAATTCCAAATCCCTTTTCCTCACCAACATACCTCACTCTCTTTTCCCAGCACCCACGTTTATATTTCTAGTGGGCTCCAAAAGCTTGTTAAAAGCATGGAAGATCTGGGACGCATAGGAAAAGCAGCGGGGCACACGGAGATGCATTTCTTACTCGTGTTTGTCTAACAGTTCTCCTATATGCAGAAATAACACTGCTTTAGTTATGCCTAAAGAATTTCCCCTCCAGCTCTTCAGCTGGAAGCATTTTAACTTTACATTAAATACGAGCAGGAAAGCATCAAACAGAGTTAAGGAGATATTCCAGGTACCAAAAATGACCCCCCCCCCCTTTTAATCGCCACTTCTCTCACGAAGGCAGAAACAACCATCTGAACAAACTTTTAGGCGGAACGACGGTGCGTGAGCCCCCTTTGTCAACCGCCCGGTTGATCCGCGGTAGCTTCCCCCGATCTTCTGCCGTTCTGCCAACTCCTCTTGAGCCCACGTACCAACTGCAACGCGTGAGGATAAAAACCATGTTTCTCTTAGGAGCACCGTGGCGTCCCCGTCCCCCCCCCCCTCCCCG